CCTTAGCCTCCCAAAGGCGCGGGATTACAGGCTGAGACACCAAGCCCGGCTTCCGCTTTTTTTTTTTTTTTTGAGTTGGAGTCTTACTCCAAAACCCAGGCTGGAGTGCAGTGGTACGCTCTCAGCCACCCCAATGTCAACCTGCTGGGCTCCGGCAATTCTTCCTCCTCAGCCTTCCAATAGCCAGAACTACAGGTGCGTGCTCCCACGCCCGGCTAATTTTTGATTTATTATAGAGACAAAGTCTTGACAAGTTGCCCGGGCTGGTCCCGAACCCGCGGGCTCAGGCAATCCACTTGTCTGGGCCTCCCAAAGTGCTGGGATTACAGCTGAGCCACCGTGCCCGGGCAGCATCCACTTTTAATAAACTTGCAGCAGCCTTGTTATGTTCCACTGGCTCTGAAATTCTTTTCTGCAGCGAATTAAAGGACTGGCACAGAACACTCCTGACAGACGTAGAATCCTGGTAACAGTGTTATTGGTGTGTTTCTATGTATTTCTATTTCCATCTACTGTAGTTTCACCTTTTTGAAGTTAGTTGCTGAATGATTTGATGCACTGATATTTTAAAAACGGCTGTGAATTGCATCTTCTTAGCCTTACCAAGTGTTCCCCCGCCTTTTTTCCCGTCTTGCGGTCTGAACGCCGTCTTGTTTGATGTCAAGACCTCAGCACGCCTGCGTCCTGTGCTAGGGTCGGACTCTTCCGGGGTCTGAGTGGGTTCTACCAGCCCTGGGGAGCTGGTCGGCCGGGTTTCGGGGAACAGCAGCGAGCCTGAAGCGGCAGTCCGAGTGGACGCCGCGGTGTCCCCAGCGGAGCCCCTCCCGCCAGGCTCCGCCCCTCTCCCGATCGCCTCCGGCTGGAAGCCCGGTCCAACCAGAGTATTCGCAGAAGATCGCGGGAGATGCGTTTCTCTACGGCGCCGTGGCGTCCCGCCGCGTCGACTCATGACGCACTTCCGTGTGCGCCGCACCCCCGGCCGTAGTCGGGTGCGCTCGTCCGGGCTGTTTCCGCCTGGGACTCCGTGTACCGGTGCGAGGCTGGGCTCGCGCTGTCCTGGGTCTCCGCGGTCAAGGAGGCGCGGAGTCGACCCGGCCCGGCGCGTCCCGGGCAGGCCGGAGCTTGACTGGCTGAACCCCGCCGTGTGTCCGGGGCGTGGACAGCGCCAGGCCAGCCGGCTCTAGCCGCGTCAGGGCCGCGGAACCGCACCGACCCGTCGCTCGGGTTCCCAGCGCCCAGCAGGAGGCCGCCCTGCCGCGCAGCTCGAGCGGGGGACAAGCTGAGGGGGCCGCGTCCCTGTGGGCGGCCCACTGCGGGACGGCCGGATCCTGGCGCCACACCGGCCTCGGCCTTGCTCGCGGCTCTCTCCTCCACCTAGTCCCGCACGGCCACCCTTCGCGCGTGGAAGCGGGATCGGCGATGGCCACCCATTTCCGGACCCAGCTTTGTGCTGGGTAAGTAGAGACGCTTCCTCACCTTTTAAAAGCCGGTTTGACACCGAGGTCGCCACGTTCGTCTCTTCAGGGCTCCGTTCGGGACCGGAACCCACGTGTGCTCCCCCGTCTCGGGTCCTCCAGCAACGTTCCTTCTGGTATCTTGTGTCCGTGTCCTCTCCGGTGTCTCCGCTTTCAGCGGTTATACGGTACCTCCTTGCCGGCCCGCGGGCCCTGGTCTGAGTGTCCTTGTTAAGGAAGTGATCCCCTGTCATTGCATGTCATCTGTATACAGTTGTCTTCTTATTGAGAGCCTCGAGACTTCATGAGAAATCCTCCTCCTCCCTCTCTCTCCCCGTGTGTGGGTTGTGTGTGTGTGTGTGTGTGTGTGTGTGTGTGTCTGTCTGTGTCTGTGTCTGTCTGTCTGTCTGTCTCTCTGTCTCTCTGTCTCTCTCTCTCTGTCTCTCTCTCTCTCTCTCTGTCTCTCTCTGTCTCTCTCTCTCTCTGTCTCTCTCTCGCGCGCGCGCGCGCTCTCGGTGCTTATTTACTGAGTGTCTTTTTGTGTGCTGGACCCTGGAGCTGGGGCTGACAGTGCAAAGATAAATTATGTATGTTCCTTGTTTTAGGGAAGCTTAGTCTGTGGGAAAGGTAATCAGTGGGCCGTCGGCACAATTACAGGTGAATAAGTAGGGAGAGGAGGCTGGAGGAGCTCAAGGGTCCAAGGCGGAAGGAGTGGGTGGGGGGGAGGAGTGGGCCAGTGGACCACCTGGACTTGAATGATTGACGCTAACCAGAGGGGAAACTTCATGATGATTTGACTGCAGTCGAATCCTGTTGGAGTCGGTGGTGGGTGGTGGTGATGTTCCTGAGGTAGCCTGGGAAAGACTTTTTCAGGTGTTGAATGCGCAGTGCCTGTGATTTAGTCTGTAACTCAGATGGGAGGTCTAAACTGCAAATATACAGAGTAAATGCACCTATATTTGCAAAAGCTCAGGATGTGACCGACTGGAGCCCTGCAGACGACGCGGAGAGGACTCCGGGTAATGACAAAGAAAGGACATGTGGTGAAAAGAGTGTGCTAGAGAAGTGAGAGAAAGTTAAGAAGAGTGGGTTCCCTCATCCCCCGAAATTTGTTCCTTTTTCATAAAGACCTGTTGACTATATGAATTTATATCTGGGCACTCTGTTCCATTGATCTATCTGTCCTTAGACCAATGCTACACTGTCTTGATTACTATAGCTTTATAATAAGTATTGAAGACAGGTGGTGCCATTCCTCCAACTTTCGTCTTCAATATTGTGTTGTCTATTCTGAGTCTGTTGCCTCTTCATATAAACTTTAAAATCAGTTTGTCATCTACAAAATAACTTGCTGGGCTTTCAATTGGGATTGCATCCAATCTGGTAAGTCAAGTTGGGTAGAGCTGACATCTTGACAATATTGAGGCTCCTACTCATGAACATATACTATCTCTCCATTTATTTAGTTCTTTGATTTCTTTCTTTTTTTTTTTTTTTGAGTTGGAGTCTCACTCTGTCACCCAGATTGGAGTGCAGTGGCCGCTCCCGGCCAACACAGCCTTGACCTGCTGGGCTGTGGCGATCCTTCCGCCTCAGCCTTCCAAGTAGCCGGAATTATAGGCGTGCGCTACCACGCCCATCTGATTTTTTGATTTATTGTAGAGATGAGGTCTTGCTGCCCAGGCGGGTCTTGAACCCACGGGCTCAGGCAATCCACTCACCTCAGCCTCCCAAAGGCGCGGGATTACAGGCTGAGTCACCGAGCCCGGCTTCTTTGATTTCTTTCGTCAGTATTTTATAGTTTTCTTTACACAGATCTTATATATATTTTGTTAGACTTACACCTAAGTATTTAATTTGGGGTGTATTAATATAAAATGATGTGTTTTTATTTCAAATTCAACTTATTCATTGACGGTACATAGGAAAGGGACTGACTTTTATATGTTAACTTTGTATCCTGCAACCTCAGTATAATCACTTAGTTCCAGAAGTTTTTTTGTGAATTCTTTGGGGTTTTGTGCATAGATAATCATGTCACCCGTGAACAAAGATTTATTCCTTTGTTCCCAGTAAGTATACCGTTTACAGGTTGAACATCCCTTACCCAAAATATTTAGGAGCAGAAATGTTTGGGATTTTTTTTTTTTTTTTGCTATTTGCGTTTACATAAGATATTTTGGAGATGAGATCCAAGTCTAAACCTGCATATTTGTTTTATATATAGTTTATACACATAGCTTGAAGGTAATTTTATTCAATATTTTAAATAATTTTGCGAGTGAAACATTTTGTGTTAAATATTTTTGTGGAATTTTCTACTTGCATCGTGTCAGGGCTCAAAAAGTTTTGGATTTTGGTACATTTCAGATTTTTGGAAAAGGGATGCTCAACTTATATTTCCTGTTCTTGGTTTTTTTTGTTTGTTTGTTTTTTGCGTTAGCTAGGACTTCTAGTAAATGATGAAAAGGGTGATGAGAGGGAACTTTCTTGTCTTGCTCCTGATTTTAGTGGGAAAGTTTCAAGTTTCTCACAAGTATATTAGCTATAGGGTTGTTTTTTTTTTTTTTGTAGATAGTCTATATCAAACTAGGAAGATTCCTAGTACTGAACTTTTTGAAAATTATGAATGGCGTTAGATTTTGTCAAATGTTTTTTCTGCATCTACTGATCATGTAATGGAGCTGAGTCTCACAATTTGAGTTAGAGTCTCACTGTCGCCCAGGCTGGAGTGCAGTGGCACACCCACGGCCACCCCAGCATCAACCTGCTGGGTTCCTGTGATCCTTCTGCCTCAGCCTTCCAAGTAACCGGAACTACAGGCACACGCTACCACACATGGCTTATTTATTTATTTATTTATCCATCTATCTATCGTGGAGATGAGGTCTCCCCAAGTTGCTGCTCTGGTCTTGAATCCTCAGGCTCAGGCAATCCACTTGCCTCGGGCCTCCCAAAGTGCTGGGATTACAGGCTGTGTCACCTAACCCTGCCATAATGCCCTTTTTTAATCCCTCATAACTTTCCTTGCTTTGAAGCCTGCTCTGACTGAAATTTATGTAGCTACTTTCTTTTGATTAATGTTAGCATGGTATATCTTTCTCCATTCTTTTACTTTTAACATATGCATATATGTGTTTTTATGTTTAAAAGTTGGCTTGTACTGATAACATATAACTAGGTTTTGTTTTGTGATCCACTATGATAGTATCTGACTTCTAATTGGTGCACTTTAGACCATTCAGAGTGATTATTGATGTAGTTGGATTAATACCTATCATATTTGTTGCTGTTTTCTATTTGTTATCTTTGTTCTTGTTTTTGTCTTTTGTTCTTTTTCTATCTTTCATGGTTTTTGTTTGTTCTTGTTTTGCTTTTTTGTTTATTTGTTTTGGAGTTGTGGTCTTACTCTGTTGCTCAGACTTAAATGCAGTGGTGCAGTAGTGCAAACTCCTGGGCTCAAGCAGTCCTTCCTCCTCAACCTCTTGAGTAGCTGGGATTACAGGCACATTCCACCATACCTAGATATTTTTCTTTTTTTCTTTCTTTTTTTTTTTTTTTGAGTGGGAGTCTCACTCTCGCCCGGGCTGAAGTGCAGTGGCATGCTCACTTCCACCACTGCCTTGACCTACTGGGCTTCAGCGATCCTTCTACCTCAGTCTTCCAAGTAGCTGGAACCACAGACCTGTACCACTACCTGGTTAAATTTTTTATGTATTGTAGAGACGTGATCTCATCAAGTTGCCTGGGCTGGTTTCAAAACCCTGTACTCAGGCAATCCTCTCGCCTCAGCCTCCCAAAGTGCTGGATTACAGGTGTGAGCAACCGTGCCTGGCAATTTTTTATTTTTTCTAGAAACAAGGTCTTGTTATGTTGCCCAGATTGGTCTCAAACTCCTGGGCTCAAACAATCCTCTCTCTTCAGCTTCCCAGGTTCTGGGATTACAGGCATGTGCCACTGTACCTGGCCCTTTTATGCTTTTATTTTTAATTAATTAATTTATTTTTTTGAGTTGGAGTCTCACTCTGTCGCCCAGACTAGAGTGCAGTGGCTACTCCCGGCCACCGCAGCCTCGACCTGCTGGGCTCTGGCGATCCTTCGGCCTCAGCCTTCCAAGTAGCCGGAATTACAGGCATGCGCTACCACACCCGGCTGATTTTTTTTTTTTTTTTAATTTATTGTAGAGATGAGGTCTCGCTGCCCAGGCGGGTCTCGAACCCACGGGCTCAGGCAATCCTCTCACCTCAGCCTCCCAAAGGCGCGGGATTACAGACTGAGCCACCGAGCCCGGCTCCTTTTATGCTTTTAATTAAGCATTTTATGATTTCATTATCTCTCCTTTGTCAGTGTATCACTTATACTTTTTTTTAAGTGGTTCGCCGAATCCAAGTCCAGGTTCAAATAACACCCCTGCTTCATGGGTAATATGAGTATTTATAATAATAAAATAATCATTTTTCTAGGAAAGGTAGGTCTGCTGGCAATAAATTGTCTTAGTTTTTGTGTCTGAGAATGTCTTTATTACTTCACTTTTGAAAGATAATTTTGCAGAATACAGAATTATATTTTCAGTTTTTTTTCCTCTGAACACTTTAAATAATTCACTCAACTCTGTTGCTTGTGTGGTTTCTGAGAAGCTGAATATAATTCTTAGCTTGTTCCTCTGTAGGTATTTAGTAATGCATCATGTACTGGGTAAAAAGAATCGCTGCTGGCCAGATGCCGTGGCTCATGCCTATAATCCCAGTACTTTGGGAGGCTGAGGTGAGAGGATTGTCTGAGCCCATGGGTTTGAGACCAGCCTGAGCAACTTGACGAGACCTCATCTCTACCATAAATCAAAAAATTAGCCGGGCATGGTGGCACATGCCTGTGGTTCCAGCTACTTGGAAGGCTGAGGCGGAAGGATCACCTGAATCCAGCAGGTCGAGGCTGCAGTGGCCGGGAGCATGCTTCTGCCATCCAGCCTGGGTGACAGAGTGAGACTCCAACTCAAAAAA